TTCAGTTCCGCGATGCGTGTCCAGCCCTCCGGATCTGGTTTGGTTATGGTTTTTCTTTTTTTAGCCACCGCCTCCACTTGCCAAGGTCGCGAAGCGTGGCCATATCAAGTATACGCAGATGAGTAATGCCCATTAAATGAGTTGTTATACTTGTTACCGCCGGCAGTGCCTTCGCCTGTGCCTGTGCCTGGGTGCTCTCCTAATGGTCTATAAAGAATTGAAATTGGCCATTAGCCGGACGGACGTAACCCCGAACAAAGAGCAGGAAGCCAGGCGGCAAATGCAAAATTAATAACAACAGCTGAATAAGTGCTCAAAATATGTTTGCCATTTAACGCTTTAAAATGTAACAAGTCTCGAAATAATAAAAACAAATTTTTTCATTTAATTAACCATCAATGGCAACAGCTGTCTGCCAAAGTGGAAAACTGTTTGCCAAAAATAATTCAATTAAAGGGAGGTTATATTAATCAAAGAAACATGTTGATCTTGGGAACTTTAAAAGTTTGTTAAACGTTGTTTCTAAATTGTTCTTCTTTCATAAAGTTAACTAACTAAATGGTTTATGGTTGTCCATTAAGCGAGTTTAAGTTATATTAATATTAAAACCTTGTTTACGAGTACAAATGTATTGGATAAATACTGTTTCTATATTTATTCTTTCCTAAGAAAACCTTTTAATAGCACCTACTAAATGTTAAAAAAAATGTTTAAAACTATTTGAACTTTAAAGACTTTGAAAGCAGTTACTAAGCACCAGTTTTTTTTAGAAAATCATCTTGCATGCTAATTTGTTTGTTATGCAAGACATTGTAACTAACCTGCATATTGATGTGTTACTAAGCCGGTCGATTTTGTAATGTTTTAAGTATCTGGAATACGACTAATTTGTATGCATTCTGTAATAGTATCTACTCAACCTATACCTCTACCATGTATTTAAGTTTTAATCTTACTGATAGAATAATTATATTACTGTTTGATCAAAAAGCTATAATTATTGTACATACTTAGCTTATTAAAGTAATTGTTACACATATGTTTTACTAATTTTTTTATGGAAATAATATCGTAATTACCATTAGCAGTTTGATTAAAAACAAAAACTAGAAGAAATGAAAATTAAAAAAATGTTTGGTTCACTTTCGCTGGCAAGCCCTTGAATGATGTAAAATGAAAAGCCCTTGACACAGGTCCCCGACCTGCGATCGGCATTCCACAAACTTTCCCAGCAACCTTAGAGAACGTTTAGCAAACAGTGGCAAGGGCAGTACAGTGAAATCTGGCCAAAATCAGCGCTAATGCTAAGCCGCAGTTGAAGGTTTCTTGCTTCTAGCTGAGCAGAAATATTTCCAGCTTGTAGATTGTATGCATATAAATTGTAAATAATTTGCAAGCTTGTTTTGCCTTATTGTTGTTGCTGCTGTCCGTCGGTTTTTAAATTTTTGATTGAGCTACCGAAAAATTGAACGAGGCACGAGTTGGTACCCCACTTCTCCGAGCGCCATACTGTTTGCCATAGTTCAAAAATTTTGACAGCTGCACGTCGTTGAGTTGCTGACCAGCCTGACAGTTTATATTTATTAATATCTTATTTATTAAGTTACCTATGTTGAGCGTAACCAATTGATTTGCCAAAAATTGCTGTTTTGGCCAAAAATTAATGCTAATACCAGCTAAGTTCAACGACCGATAAGCAATGTGACATTGACTTTGGCACTTTTTGGCCAACTCATTTAACACCTATTATAAATTGGAGTTGTCATAAAAATTCAGCAAAATATTTATAATAGTAAAGGCATTAGTAACGGTGAATAATTTGACTCTTTATGAGGTATTTGGGTATAATCATAGTCGGTAAGCATTAATTTGATATATCAGAAAAGGCAACTTTTATGAGTGATATACCAAAAGTGATATACTATAAAATTATACAAATTATGTATTGAAGAGTGTATAAAATATAATAAGCAATGATAAACTTGGTTGGCAAGTACAACTGTGCGTATAAGTATTCTGCTATTAAACTTTCAGTCAACATTGCGTATGAGTAATAAACTTGGAGTAATAGATTTTAAATAAATTATTAATATTCAAACCTTTTTATTACACTGGACTTCAAGAATTTTGTATGCTAAATATAAATTACTGATTTATGACAATAATTTAATATGTAAGTACATAAGGTTGTTCAAGAGGTTTGATTAGTTTTCTTTAAGCCACTGGCAATTGATACATATATATACTAACAAGTATTAAGCTATGCACACGCCTCGGCTTAATTTCAAACACCCACCCGGGAAATCTTGACTTTTGCACTTGGGCTTGTTGGTTGGATAAATACAAGCCATCCATGCAAATGTCAGCCCAGACACCGTTAGCGCGAATAACTGTAATTAAAGTCATAGCCGGCTCAGCTAACCAAAAGCTGTTTAGTTGGTAAGTCGCTGCCAAGGCTCTTGTGGCATTTGTCAAGCGATCTCAGACTCTGGCTAAGACTCTAGTCTCTAGATTGTGGACCACCTCCTGGGATCAGACCTCGCCGAGAGGCAGGGTAAATATTATTTTTAATTTGCATTTCAGGCGTTTCGCATTACCAAGGTTCTTGGCCAGCTTCGATCCACTTATTTCTCTTATTTCGCCGCCATTGTCTGGCGGTGTAAATATTTTGACTCAAAATTAACAGCAATTCGCAACTGAATGTTAACCGAACCGTTTAAGCCGGCAAGAGAGCTGGATTTGCCGGGGTTTCATATTTTTTTTTTGGTTCGAGGGATCAAGTTGTTGGCCTGGAAAATTTGCGCCGTCATTGCCAAACAAAACAAAACTGACCATCGCCAACGGAGCCACACAATACAAATCAGTTGAATAAAATATGCAGGTTATTATACGATTCATGGCGGAGTTCCCAAAATTTATCAGATTTAAAGCGAAAATGTGACACTTTATTACCAAGCTGATGAAATGTGAATTAATACTCAGTTGCGATAATGAAACACACATTTCTGTGGCTTTTAACTGCTCAGTTATGTATAAATCTTTAAACTTGTAGTGTTGATTAAATAACCATTGTTTATATAAAACTAAAATTACCACGCCCATGATTTTTATAAGGCTTTAAAATTTAATAGGTTTATCTAAATCTTTTAGCTTTCCTATAATTTACAACCGCTAATCACTTGATGAACAATCATAAATCTTTTATGGGGTTTAGCCTTCCCCTGTCTGTTAACACGTCCCGGTTGAATCTGCAAATTCTATCGAAAGAAATAATGTTTAAGAATGCATTTTATTCATTGTTGCACGCTTCTTTAATTGTGTAACTTTGTTATGCATTCATTTGAAATGAGATTGGTTTTCATTACTATACAATTACTATCCATGTTTCTTTTAGAGTTATCTATATGTTTATGTGTTTTAATAAATTATACACATTTAAAATGCCTTTATTTCAGCAATCTTTTAAAACAATTTAGAACTGATAAAAATAATATATAATGGCCAAAGGAACTTCATCAATTTTGTTGCGTAATGTGTAATAAAATAATCATTTTTTAGTAGTTTTGTATACTCGATCACTAATTGAAAACAAAACAACTGTATCTAAATTGGTGCAAAATGTTTTGTTATAAAGCAGATCAAGTTTAAGTTTATGTTTAAAAAGCATGACCTTCATTATGATTTTTGTTTATTTTCAATTGGTTCAACCAAAAGCCCATCGAATTCAAGTTCATGGCCCAAAAAATCCCCTGCTCGACCCCTTACTTTGCTGTCTTCTTTTCTCTCTCTATCCATCACCATCTCTCCTTTCTTTCTACACGTGACTCACCTGGCCAAAACCGCCGTGGCAACAACAGTAACGAGTTTTCCTAACCAACTTCGTTGGTCGTTGACTTCGAAGGCGAATATGTGTCAAGGTCGTTGCCGGCACTGCTCTCTCCATCTCCCTCTTGCTTTCGTCTATCTCATGTGTACGTGCTGAATGGCAAGACTTAAAAAAAAAATTTACAATTTCACAATTTGCTGCAAATAACAATCTTGCTGGCGGAATCTCCCTGCTCCGCCAGGAAGATGATCAATTAAAATTGCATTACATAACACCGAGTAATTCAAATAAAAAAGAAAAGATGGGATATAAAAAGCGAATAAACCGCATTGAAAGAAACGGAAGCCCGAACAACCTTGATTTTATATCTTGTTCTTCGATAAAGTTAAGCTCAAATGCAGATACACTTTAAAAAGTGTTTTGATTTATGTCTTTGTATCAGCCATAAACCCTCAGAATAATATTACTACATTTATGTTCGTTTATTTGTTAAGTAATAAATTACTTTCGTAAATAATTATTGTTCATAATAATGGAAGATTACCTTCAATGTATTACCTATTGATATTTTATTAGTCTTTTTTAAAACGGTTCTGGGGGACTTGAACTTGGTTCATTTCTATTAATATATTTTTAATTAAATAGCTGATGCTGTTATTGAAAATGTAAAAAAAATCAATAATACATTAAATTTTTATACAAAGACAGAAAGTCATAAAAGGTCTGTAAATTTGTGAAATATAATTTAGTTAAGGCCATTTTTTATGTACCCAAGGATATATTTTTTAATTATAAATTTCAAATTTTTTTTTTTGGTGTAAATTTATATTTATTACAATTTTGGCGGTGCAATGGTAGTGGCTCTGTCAGCCTTAGACCACTTCTGACCCCACTTCCACGCCCACTTCCCGGGCAGCTTCTTCGGCCCAGCTTCTTCGGGCACTCGAGCAGAAGCCAACTTTTGGCATTAACCACAAAAGTTCAGATCGGCCGAGGAGCGAACAAATTATAGCCCCAAGCCTGAGTGTGTGTGTGCGGTGTGTGTCGCTATGCTTTTCGTGTCGGTGTGTGCAGGCCCCCAAAGCAAACAATGTTTAATGTAGTTTTTTTCTTAATACTTGAAGCGTCAGGCGGCCGACGTCGCAGTTAGTCTCAGCACAGCCGCAACGGAGTGTGCACGCGCCTTCAGAGCTAGAGTTAAAGTTAAAGTTATAGCGAGAGCTATAGAAAACTGAGCTACATTTACCATCAACCGTCAAAAGCTTCGAATATCGAACTAGTTTTCCAGTGAATGCGAAAATTAATCTTTTCCAAATTCGATTCAAAGTTGTGGCGGCGAACGGAAAAAGCGACAATCACACAAACAAGTTGAAAATTGTCAATTCAAAATTGTTGCGTTTGCGTTGTTCTGCGTTGAAAGTGATCGATAACGAAATCGAACGATAACATCTATTGAAATAATATAGAAAACTCGATAAATTGAAATTGAACTTTTGCAAGTATCGAAATTATCAAACTGAATTAAAAACAGTAAAGAAAAAAACCCAAAGTGACACTGATAACCTTCAAACTAAAAATAAACTCAAAGTAGCCCAATCGAAGACACCAGAAAAAACGAACAAAAAACCCAAAAATAAAACCAATTGAATTTCGATCATCTCTCCCACTCACACTTTCGTTCACCTGGTCAAAAATGGATGCGCCCAAGCAGGTAAATGACAAACTTATCCCACTAAAAAATGTTTATACGCTTGTTGTTATTTTCGTTTGTTGTTGCAACTTTAACAAGTTAACTAGGCTAAGAGACGGCAGGCAACAACAAAATGTGCGTGACAAGTTGGCGGCCTGTCTTTTGTGCCGCCAAAAAAATGCCACGCCCCTTGGCCCATTAATGCAAGGCGGCACACCGCAATGGCTCGAAAACGTGTTTACAATTTGTTTTTCGCTGTATTTGTCTCCTTATTTATTTCAGTTTGTTTTTATGTTTCTCCCGTTGTCCGACTTTGCCAATTGCAAATTTTTCCCAACCGCATCATTCATCATAATTTCGCGACATACTACATATTTTATTTTCTTTAAGTAGTGCATTGGTCAATAGGCAAATTGCATTTTTTTTGTTGATTTGTCGGGATTTTCGTTTGATATGGCTTAAAAAATGTATATCTCCATATATGAAGAATTGGCAAATCGATGAATCAAGATTGATGTTAATACAGCTTAAAATTGTTGGTGGTATTACAAACATTACTGAACTATGAGCAACAATTTCAATTATGACTAGTTTTGGTTTAAAAAAAATGTTCGATCAAATTCATAGCTTGAAAGTTTTAACTTAAATAACACTTAAAAAGTATTTTTATAAACAAAAATGTTTTTTGTACTTTTATTATGTGTAATATTAATTGTAATCTAATTTTGTACACGAAACAAGGTATTTCTTCTGAGAATTCAAAATCTAAAAGCTACATTTCAGTTCAAGTAAATATAATTGGTAGGCCTTTTGTGTATAGAATTGATAGTATACATATTCTACATATAAGAAATAACAGAACAGATTTTGATTGTTCAACAAGATAAATTGAATTACCTTATTACATTCTTATCGTATGCTTAAATCCACAATGCTACATTTAGGACTTTAAAAATTGCATACATTTTAGTATATGGGAAATGTAGCCTTGGGGTAAATATTATAGACAAATATGTTATTTTTAAATGAACGTACTTAACTTTGATCAACATCATAAAACTAAAACAAAAATAATTAAATTCAAAAATTTAACAAATGGTGTAGGTAATAAAATTCGTTTTGTCTGTTCTTGTAAATTTGATTATTTTTTGCGAGCTCTTTATAAAGTTCACTCGTAGTTCTATTCACTTAACACCCCATAAAATTAAATCCAAATCTTAACTTCAGTCACTCCATTCTGTTCCTTGGAAATCAGTTTTTGTAATCACTTCTGACTTAACATTTTAAAATTGTGCCCTGGTTAATTTTATTGCACTTTGTTCAGCTTTAAACGTGCCTAAGAGCTTAAACACAAAGATACAAACCAATACAAGCACACAGGAAACTGCAAATTGCATTCGGTTATTAAAATTGTTAAAGAGAAGCAATTTTTTGGCGGCTTTCAATGCAAACTTTAATTGCATCCAATTCGGCTTCGCTGTGTTGCTTGTGTTTGATAACCTTGTGCAGAATTCTCTAACAAAAAAACGCATGGGAAGCCAAAGTAAATGTTAAATGTTGGCCAATTTCTGCTCAGCCATGCAATTTTGTTTAATTTCAGAGTTAATAACAAATTCTATTAAAAGCCAATGCGGAGGGTGCTCTGTTGCACGACGGAAGCTATATAAAATTTACGGCCAAATTTCATTGGACACGTGTCACCAGAGTAGAGCGAATACTCGACTCAATCAAGTCGATCGCATTCCCAGACAGTTCTCCCTTCACTTTGTCGAATTTGCCACTTCAGATTTGACAATATCATATATACACGACAAAAAGAGCAGCAGCTCCCACGTTAAAATCCAGCCATAAGAATGGGGAAGCAACCGAGCATCCAATTTGGTAGCACATAAAGCACACAAATAATCTTTATAATTTATTATTGTGTAAGAGATACACAAATAAACATTTTGGAGAGTCTCCTTTTTTGTACGGGACTGATCTTTAAATCGGATAATAACTGAAACCAAAGCGGATTTGGAATTTGGCATCCGAATCCAATTTTGTTCTGGCATTTTCACTTTCAAAAAATTACCTAAGCAGCTGGCAGCTGGAGATAATTTTATATTAGGGGTGGCTTAATGAAAAAAACATAGATCAAAGAGGAAGGAAGTTGTTAAAAATATGTTGGAATTTTATCTGATCTGAGAACATGAAATCTAAACTTGAGCTTGGGAAGTGGTTTGTGGTAATGCCAATTTTTAACTTATTTTTATTTTGCTAATAGAAATTTTTGAAGAATATTTTTTTTTATTTTTTTCAATGATTTTGACTTAAGAATGCGAATTTGAATAATGTTGATATTGTTAATAATTCTTTACTGCAGTCATAAAAAGATTTAAAAGTTACTATTAAAATTTATGTAAAATTGATAACACAATAAAAAAATAATATTGATAAGCTATTTAAAAATTTTTTTTTTTATTATATCAAATTACTTGCACTAGCCACTAAATAAGCGCATATTAAAGGCATTAATTCCATATTCATAGAACCACATATAATCAAAATGTAATTGATGAAATAAATCTATTTTTATTGCATATCATAATTAAATAAAAAATGTTGTTGTGATAAACTATTTCGAATTGAATTAACTCGACAATATTTGTTATGACTAATGTATGCTTAATAATTAGTTACAACAGAAGTGTATTTAAAACAAACCTATAATTTATTTATCGAACCATTTAAAAATCTAGATTTTTAAATCAGCCTTCAACGTTTTTAATCAGTCGCCTTTCAGAAGGCCTCTTGTGTCAACTGCCACACGCAAAATCCGTTAATTGCCCACCTTCATTATCCCATGCAAATCTCTGGCACAAGGTGTCCGCATAAAGAATGAAATCCGGCCAAGAATGTGTTCCCACTAGATCGGGGGACTGATGAAGTGACAGGGGACTAGGCCACAGAGATATGTGCATATTTATGGGGGGAACGATAAAAATGCTTCCACGTGCCATCGATGAGTCGCTTTCAGAGCTCCTTCATTAATGCGCGAAATGTGTTAACTAATTAATAATAGAAATTAAGATTGTTGCTTTTAAGGAAAGGCAAAAACGAAGCCGACGAAATTGATATTAATTAGAAGTTCATTGTGTTCAGAGGAGGTCTCGATATCTGTTTCTGTTTTTCTTCAAAAAGCCAGACCAGACCAGCCAATTTGGCACCGAACATGACTCAAAATGTGTCGGCGAGTTCTCCTTTGATCAGAAGATCCCAACAATCTATCGGGGATCGGCAAAAAGGTTTGAGCTTTTGCCAGCGACGATCGTGAGATGATTTGACCTGACCCAGGCCTGGGATCAAATCCGGCCCGATTTATTAGCATTAGAATTTCCAATGAGTGCTCCCCATCGCATGCTCATCGCACCTCGCCGCTTGTGCAACCACCCCACACCCACACCTCCGAATCCTCCCCCCAGAAATCCCGCAAAGTTCAGAGCATGCAATTCTCAGACTTGACTTCTTGCCACTAAAATAAAAATTGTTTTCGTAAGCCGTTTTGGCCATGTGAATGCCGCCGGCGAACAACAGACAATTTAGTGAGGTGTAACGACGGCGGCTACACTTGGAAAAATTAAGTCTATGGGGTTCAACAGATCAATTTTATATTTTATTTTCTTCTATTTAAAGCCCAATTCCTTAGACAACTAGACTCATTTTAATACTCAAAGAAGGTGTTTTATGTTATACTGAATAATGTATTGTTGATGTTCCCATTTTATTTATCAGATTTTTTTAAAAGTTTCAAGAAAATTATTGTATTTTCTGCATAATATTAAATGTATTAATCTAAAATTCGTCTAACTAATAATGTACAAAAATTGTGCTTATTGGAATAGGACTATAAAAAACTGTATATAAAGTATAAATAGTATAAATTAAAGTTAAGGAGATTTTAAGAGATACTTATGAAGAGTTAATACTATGCAATATTTTAATAAAGAATGCTTTGAAAAATGTTCTATTTACCTCTCTACTAGACTTACCAGGCATTTCTTTAAGTGGAAAAACCGCAAAAAAAAGCGGAGATTCAATTTTTTTGTTTTAGTTGGCCCGCACTTGAAGTTGAGTTATTACACGAGTTTGTGTCTCCATCTCACCTGCTACCTCCCGCTGCCACCCTGCCACCTCCCACCCACTACACCTCTTTTGTTGCTGTTTTTATTATTGTTGCTGTTGTCTCTTTATGTGTGTCGCCGCCGTCACACTCACAAGCGCAGACCACATGTGTGTGCCTACCTATGTGTGTATGTACCTCCCTCGCTCATTTGTTTGCTTTTCTGTTATGAAACGAAATTGTGTCAAGGTCAAATTTGCATGAACACGCTAAGCAGCAATGGGTGACCGCAGGGAGAGATGGGTGTGAAGGGGGAGGGGCCGACGATCAGCTGTTCTGCGAGAGAGCTTTGCAAATAGTGGATATTTGGCTTTGCTTTTGTGGGTTCAAAGTGATAGAAAACCAGTGATGGGAAGTATTTGCATTATTTGTTAGCTTAAGTCCACACATTAATTAACTACTAAACTATATATACCAACAAAATTGTTATTTTAACCTTAAAAATATCATAAGGAAATGTTTCTTATGAAACATCAACTAAGAAATAAATATTTTTTTTCTACCGAGTTTATACCCTTAACTAATTGGTTTGACAACTGGTTCTTCTGCCATCACTATCACCAATCTGAGTTGAAGCTGTTAAAGTAAATAGAAAAGTACGGTGAAAACAAAATAAATATTTGACACGCCCTGGAATCCACCACTGTTTATATGGTCTGTCTGCTGTCTCCACATGTTTACACCCCTTATGTTTGGACTCTGATCCCCTGCCTCTCGGGGCATTTCCCGTGTCAACTTTAATGACACTTTTTTGTTGGTTTTTTTCTCAGCTTTTATTTAACTTTTGTTTTATATTTAACTTACGAGATGTGTGAATAATTATGCAAGTGCACAGCCCCCTTTTCGCCCTTTTCGGTAGTACATTAATTGAAGGGGACAGGAAAGCCTGTCCATTAATTAGCCGGTAAAACTTAAATGATCATAAAAAGGCAACTATTTGATTTTAGATGCAAACTAACAAGTTTAAAAACAAATCCAAAATGGTTTTTAGAAAATTAAACAATAAGATTGGGTAATGTCTATGATTTAAATTACAGAAATTAAAATAAAATGACGAGAAAATTGAATTCAAATTAAATTTAGCTGTGCAAGAAACTAAACCTTGATAAAACAAGTTATGCCATTATGCAAAAGCAATAAATGAATTTAGATTAAGATTCTTCTAATTGCATTTCGATGAGCTGGCAATAATAAGAGAGCTCTCTTCATAAGAAATTATGCAATTAAGACTCAAGCTGCCCACGATTATCTTATGCAATCCATGAGCCCGACTATGTTGGACAAGAACTTCCTCCATTCAAAGTTTAATCGAGTGAAATCATTCTCTAATTGTCCGTTTACTGCATATCTATGCATTAAACCCATTCACGATTATAATCCCCTCACTCAGATGCATCATCATCACTCTGATTGCTCTTCTGCCTTTCACACAACATTCTCGGGTGATGAACACAGCATAAAGAACCGCAATTCATAACATGTCTAACAAATGATATTATTGTGTTATTAATAACTTTGATTATACGGCTATATAGCCAGCCCCCTCCCCTCTGTTTTGGGATGAATGATTGTCGACCACCCACGATGTCCACTGGACAAACATTGGTTTTCGGCTTGTTAATCATTAAACACAAAATAAACTAGTAAGGAAGTCAAGGTAAACTGAGTCATGGGAATATTCTGAATGAATGTTTGGGGAGAGGAGAATGTGTCATTCATCCAAAAGAAGACGTAGAAAATTAATTATATGTATTTTGGTCAAGCTAATAGCCATAGAACACTTTCCCATATGAGTTGTTTATGAGTGGAAAAAAAAAAATTTCAACTTAATCCACAAAAATGTATCGTCAATAAATTTGTCGTCGCCCGCACTCTAAATACCATGAAATTAGTCATAATTCAGATGAAAGATAAAGTCGAAAACAAAGCATTAAAATCGAGAAAAAAAAAGGAAAATAATTCGCCAAAAATGGCCAATTAATAGATTGCTATCTATACGGTGAACGGTGGAACAGCTGCTTTATACCGCTGGCTAACAAAATAATTTGGGCCAACACTCAAGCAGTTAGCAACAAGACATACTGAATCAGCTAAAGAAAATGTTGGGAAAATACGCGGATTTGAGGTTAATTATGTTTTGGCATAATGTAAAAAAAGAATAAGGAGGAGAACGCATTTTTAAATTTATTAGTCGCTCTCTGCCAACTTTAAAAAATATATCTTTTTAATAACCGAATTTGTTGGTATCCCGTTGATATAAATAAACGAATTTTTCCATGGTGCATAGCAGTTACCTTAACAAGATACAATATGGGAAATCTCGTGAAATTAGCATCCACCGAAAACCAAGCTAATGCTAATAGCATCGATAAATCGCTCAGCACCCCGATATGCAAATGCAACAGCCCGGCAAACAAATTGTTCGATAGCCAAAGCTAATTGGAAATTCCTGCAGGCAATGACAGCCAAAAAGTGAAGGCAACTTCGGTGGCAGAAAAAATAAAATAAATAAGTACAAGCAGAACAACTGCAGCATGAATCAGGTCCGGGAACGCAGCCGGATATATTTATCCATATATTGACATGCAAAGCTTAGAACCCTTGAACGATCGGCTGACGAAATGGCCAACGTAATGGCCATAAGCCAAAGACATTAATCTCCGCCTGCGAACGCGACTGTCTGCACATCTCAAGACCCGACCAAGACATTGCCATGCCCACTGCCAACCGGTGGCTCAGCTGTCGACACTCCACGGTTCATTGGCGTCGGCTGACAAGCCCACCAACGTCATCGGTGATGTGGAGCCTACAGAGTGGAGCTCAAGTCTGGTTCGGGCCTCCAGCCAATCACACCCAGTAACCGGCACAACAGCGAGGAATTCCCTTCTCCGATCTGAAAAACTTTAACCCTCTCAGGAAAAAAGTATGCAAAATAAATATATTATAATATGACTTTTAAAACAAAAAGTAACAAGTTAATGATGAATGATTCAGTCAGGGAAATCCGTTTATTGATTACTAATTTATGCTTTCAGTTGGGCGATAGATTTTTAGTGAACACAATGGATTTTTATTAACTTTTCCTGTGACATGTGACAAATAAAATGTGCTTAGCAAAAAAGATGGCTCAATTATATTAAAAAATATTTTTTTTTCAATCTTCTCTAAAAAGTTAAATTGGGAATATATAATTATCAAATCAATCTTTATAAATATAAGACTGAAAAGTCTTAATTGCCGGTAACATGTATTAGATATCATGCTGAAACGTGTTTATTAAGTATTTTTATTAAAAGTGCCTCTTTAAGTCACATGATAGGGTTAATATATTGGGCGGGTTTCTCATTTGAGTTTTCGGGTATCAACAGTATTGCTGGTGCGACTGCAGTTTAGGCTTGACCTTCAAAGTGGACACAGAAAATGTCCAAAGCGGCGCTTTTTTTTCGCTTAGCAACGAAAAACTTTCCAGCGGGTCAGAGATTTCGGAGCGGGTTCGTTGCCTAAGTCGTTTGTCTGAGCCAGAGTCTAGACGAATTTATGAGGCGTGACCGGCATGACGCTGCTGCCTTTACAATAGAGCCATCAGCCTTGATCCCGCACCCTTTCTCCCCCAAAATCAAACTGCTATAGTTAATGGGCGAAACCAGACTCGAAATGGCTAAAAATAACAAATGTGCCGCAATTACCAGCATAAAAAATAAGTTTGGGAACAAAAAATACACTGGCCCACGCGACAGTCAAGCAGTTGAGAACGCCCCAAAGGAATAAATTGTGCCATAGGTAAATGTACGTGTGTGCTGTTGGCTTGCTTTTGAGATGTGGGAAACACTCAAAATTACCAAAAATTTGCGGCTGTCGAAACAATAATAATAAAAACTCAACAGAACAGCAGAAACAGCAGTAGAACCGGGCACCCGGATTCATTATTTATGGCTCCCCATTGTTGTTGATTCGCTTTTTTCATACATTTAATATTTATTGATTTCTCTGTTGGACACAGCGCTGGCCAGACAAGACGCATTCATCACGTGCGTCATTTAACAGTTCAATTGATTTGAATAAAAGTGCTATTTATAGAGCCTGACTGCGGCCTGGAACATTATTATAATGGGTCGCCTAGGGCGGCCAAACTAAATTTCCCCTTAATCGCGCTAGCTGTGACTCACATTCTGGATGCAGAAAAGCTTGCGAATTATCTAACCACATTTAGCTGTGGGCTTTCTCTTTCCCCTTGGATTTTTATCAACCGGTTGCCTTCTAATTGGCAAGCAGATACCGAAGCGGATATATAAACCGAAAGCATTTTGTACTTTCCAATTTATAACAAACAAAATTCCACATTTTAAGTTCAAACCAAAAATCCGGTTCTACTCCGGGTTCTGATTGTATGTTTGTTCTTGACCGTTTTCGCCCTCTCGCCAAACAATTTGTTACAATTTATTTTTGGCCATTAGCGGACATTTGACCCCCACAATGAGAATTTTTGGCCAACTTTTTTTGCGCAATTTGTATTGTTCGCACTGACAGTAATTTATGATATTAATTGGTAATTAATTAAGTAAGCATATGATCGCATGACACAGTGCCACCCACACAAACGATGATTAGTTGGGATTACGCGCGCAACTATCCCAAAGCCATCTCCTTTGGCCTCCACCCCATTGTGATGGGGAAACCATTAATTAATTAGGGCCTGCTGGCATTGTTTGAGTGCTTCTTTTTCTACGGTTTGTTAAACACGGTTTGAAAAACGTTTTATCAAATTAATGAGCTACGAGAATTAACAACTAAACGGGGCGTATCAAATGTCTCTACTTGTCCCTAGGTTTCACAAGCTAGAGATGGTTGGTTGCGGACTTTAACAATTCAATTTTCTAACTTTTATTTTAATATTTAAAAGCATTTGACAGTTTAAAAATGTCCTCTAAGTCCTAGCTAAATAAAGAGCTATATTAATATAATATACCAGTTTTACTTTTTGTATAATTGCTAAAAAGTATTTAAAATCGAAATAAATTTATGAAAACAAATTCCCTTACGCAATATAAATATTTATTATATTAATTTCCTGCGTGTCACGCATTCATCTCGAACATAAAAATCACGGCGCGTGGCAAATAAAATACGCAAAACAGAAACTTAAAGGCAAAACAACCAATTAGTTGCCAAATTAGTCTTAGCTTTTAAAAAATTGCTTAGCACTTTACAAATTATACAAAGCTATAGCTCGCCAAATCAACATATTAACTATTTATTAAGACGGGCGCACTAAATTTATGATCGGCTTAGGAAACGAGTTCAAAATTTATCAGATCATTGACCCAGAGAACTACTGAGAAGTTCTGATCTGAATTTGGGTGTGGATCCAGATGAAGAAGTGCTCAGAGCCCAGAACTGTTAAAAATAAATAAATAAATTCCTTCAATCCAGTTCCACGATCATGTTCAGGTCCAATAAATAAATTCAATTTAAATTCAGTTTAAAAGGTAGCAATAAAATACGAGAAATTACCTCGATCATTTGCTGAAAATCAAGCTGGTTTTGTCCAGCCTTTGCCTCCATTTCATCCTCCTGGCTGGATGATCGATTTTTTGGATTTCTTGTTCGGCTTTCACTAGCTAATTGGTATTACCATATTGAAATATTTTAAGACTCGGGGTTTTTTCGTTTTAACTGTTGTCCGTTAAACAATTTGTTTTTATTTGGTTTGCATTAGTTTATTGTGTGGTTGAAAAAATGAAGACTTCACATTTCAAATGTGAAAGAGTGAGAAAGCGAAAGTTGTACAGATTGAGTTGAGAATGTTAAGAATGTTGAACTAGTTGAACTTGCACTTGGAGAAGTCCATCTCTGGATGCTGCTGCTTGAATCTGTAAAAAGAAATTAAATACATTAAATACGGAGGGTTTAAGCGAAAGCCATTTTTCTGTACTTACTTTTCGAGTATGTCTTGCTTTTTGCGATCCTCACTGGTGGGCAAACCCATCTCCTTCTGCCTCTGATCGAACATCATCTTCTCCACCATGCTGCGGGTCTCTCCATCCAGATCCGAAAGCTTGGACGACTCCGGATTGATCTTGCGCGTGGATATCTCCGGATCGGTTGTGACCAGGCGACTCCACCAGTTCATCTTGTTGATCTTATCCAGGGTGATCATCACGGTTTTGCTGTCTTGCAAGACCCACACGGACTCCTCCTGCTTCACCTCTGCGCACAGCTCGCCATCGATGATGGGCTCTTGACCTTTGATGCCCACCTTCAGTGTCTTTTTTCCAATACTGACCACCAGATCACGGGCTCGCAGAGCGAATGTCACGTTGAAGGGAATCTTGAGCTGCAGAGAACAAAATTTTCATATTTTTCTCATGAGTGCGGTTCGTTTTTAAAAATGTACAATAATATTTTATCTTTATCATTATTTCAATGAAAATTGAGAGCAATTATTAAAACTTTCTGAAGATAATCCATATTTTTGGGAATCGAATTTAAGATTAAAATTCGTAAATACTAATGACTTAACCAAAAAGTTATTGCCAAGACAAAGATATTACAAATATGTAAAACAGATTTTTTTAAATACATAACTCATGGTTTTTCTTTGTGTAATGCAAAAGCCATTCTGTTAATGACAATCAAACTAGAGTAGAGTGGATTGGATTGGATTATTCAGGGGTTCTTCATGTAATCAAGCTTGGAGTGGCAGGTCTTGTGATTAATGATCGGATGCGTGTGCACATCTACAAAGATTCTTTAGCCAGACTTTGCTTTGGTCATTGCACAACCTTGGCGAGCTAATAACGATCTCTATAAATAACCAACTGCAGAGGCACGTCTCTGCATCCAACAATCATATCACAGCTGCCAGATCTGCCCTTCACCAGATCAACGGATCGAGTCTTCCTTTGTTCAAGGACTCAATGTAGAACGGGAATTTAGTTCAGCTGCCAGTTCAAGGACGTACAGCGGTTCTTCAGGTCCGGTTAAGGGAGTCAACATCGATTCTTCAGCCTCACAGCGAGGAGTTTTCAAGAATGTCGCTTAACAGGTTGCAACAGCTACACAGAGAAATATAATGATATATATTTTAAAGATCGATTCGATTTTCGCATTGAACTTGAAACCGATATTCAATGTCGGTATTTAGGTGGTAATAATATCGAAGTTATAAACTTCAGACAAGATGCTTTGTTGTTAATAAAAACCAGTCTTTATCAAATAAAATATATAGAATTAAATAATAATACAAAGTTTTATTTGGTTTATTATATATTTTCTAAGAAATCTTACAAATCTCATTAAATAGAAATCTTCATGAAATTAAAAAGAATGCAAGTCTTAATGAAACGTTAATTATACAATATTTTGGAATTTAATAACTTTATCTCCAACTTTATTGCTGTGTAAAGAAGTGAAGCAACCTGTGGATTGGACTTATGTGGCTGCTTGGCCAAGTTCACAGCAATTACACTGGCGTCTAGAATTATGTGCCACGGCTGGCCATTAATTATAAATCGCACGGATACATGCATACATTAACACCTTTCCCATTAGCTCGCAGCATAATTAAAGCCAGAGTTATTAGACAACTGGCTGTGCAATCAATTAGTGAATCGCATGTGGCAGAAACAATGAGGGGTAAGGTAAGCCTTTAATTTAAATCTCACGACGCCGCATCGAGCCAAGGACGCTTTCGTTCGGCTCATGATAGTTTATAGACTATCTAGTGGGGGGTATTCGTGTGGGCAGTCAGCCAAGGTGGTAGCACTCCGAGTTCTTCTACTCGCAGCACGCGGCTCGTGTCAACAGAAGCTCACAGATCACAGCTAATGTGGGTGGCATCTTCATCACCGACGACCGGTAAAAAATGTGTCAAAAGCTGAAACTGAAGCGGATGTCAATTGGAAACATTGAATCGTACGCGGATGTAAGGCAGCAACAAAAATAGCCTCGTCGAGCCAGAATAAGAAAAAATATCTGGAGACGTGGGCAATACGTCAAGTCAAACACTTGGCAACAGAAAAAGTTAATTGGAAATGATCGCAGAGCAGTGCTATAATTTTCCTATAGAAATATGAAAAGAATTCTTGTAATAGTCGAATTAATCTGGGAGAAAATATGTATTTTTTTCGATTTCCGATTTATTTGCCTTTTTACAATTATGGATCGAGTGATTGTAAACTATTTTAAAATAAATTAACTATTAATAATTGGATTTTGCTTTTTTTATTTTTTTTTATTAAGAATTAACTTGTCAGCTTGTTTAATTGTTTACGTTAGATACGGGTGACATAAGTTAAGGTGTTTATATGATCATGTATAAAATCAGAACTTCGCATTATATGTAAATAATTTGCAGTCTGTTTTTTAACCTAATTAAGAAAACAAAGATGAAAGGGGAATTTATCAAGGGAGTCACAATCTAATAAATGCCTAAATGTGAATGCTTGGCATTGTTTTTGGAACTTGAATTTCTGTAAATTTAATTAGTTAAATGTAGGCTTTCTCAATGGACTCGCAGACTTGACAACAAAACTTATTTTGCATCGCTGAAGGTTATGCAAATAGCCACTTTAAGAACACTATGCTCGAAACTAGGAAATTTACACAAATCAAAAGTCAGCAGATCCGCAGACACCTACGGCCATTAAAATCACATGAACAGGAGGGATACTCATGCAAATGCAGAGGCTAGATGAAAAACAATAGGCTTTGAGCAAAATATGAGGTATGAAAATGAAGCTGTGCCACCAAAAAGGTAAACACAAAGCTGAAGAGTCACCGCCAGTCAAAGTCAGAGTTCGCTTTTGAGTTCAGAAAAGCATAAAAGGTGTCGTGAATGAATTAATGAACAATAACAAATATTGATGACTGCGACGACGGCTGAAATAAAATGAAAAAAAATAAGAAAAAATCACGAGACTTGGCACACTTATCCAGGTGAGAGCGGAATCGCAGACGAATCGTCTGACAGTGGGCGATTTTATGCAAATCGGCTAATGTTAATGGTATTGCTGGTTGGCTGCACGTTAAATCGCCAACCAGTTAATCGATCATTCAAATCCACAGAGTTTTAAACCAATTCGCCCCGCTTCTCTCTCTGTAAAGTGAAAGACATCTTTGTCTGCTGCCGTTTTAGAGTGTTATTTGTTGCTATTTCATCTGATGCCGCAGCTGATTAATTCTATAAAACTTGAACAGCATTTCATTTTCTTTAAATATCTAGCCGCAAATAATTTATGCTAAAAGATGCGATCCGGTGCCAGGCACCACCAAAAAAATTAAATAGGAAAAAAAGAACGGTCGCAACAACAAACTTAACGTAGAAACAACAGACCATCCATTTAAACAAAATAAAAATCGAAAAAAACTAGCTTTGCTGATGGAGTCGAGTGCTTGGAAGTGTGTATCTTCGTAGTGTTTTGTATTCGATAATGTTATCACACAAAACAGCTGAGTCGCCCAAGGAACTCTGGTGGGGGTACAGTGAATGTTGGGGAACTCACATTTCATTAATTCATTATAATAATTCAAGATAAAAAAAATTTGGTAGATTGTGAGGTGATACTAATATATTAAAATGTTCACAATAAAGTTAAATATTGTCAGTGAAACTTTTCTCTAAAGTCACTTTTATTTAAGATTTTAAATAATTATTGCCAAAGGATTGGTAAGTTAGAAAGTTTGAAAACCATGCATTACGAACAATTTCGATATTAACTCTTAACCAAAAGTTTATATTTACGAGGGCCTACTGCTGGCTCATTAAATGCGGCCTAAACTTGACTTATTTGTGGTCAGAAGTAGAGTGGACTCCTAAATAACTCGAAGCAGAGGGAGATGAAATCAAAATCGAGCGTGGCAAATTCTTTTTATTCCTTTCCATTTAGAATTGTTTTGCTTTTAAATCTAAAACTAGTTCCTATTGGGAACGCCGCTCCGCTCCACTCCACTCCAATCTACTCTGTTCCAATCCCCCAACCCTCTCAAAACCCGGCGTACAATGAGCTGTCGAGTGGGTACAATAGAATCCGTATTGACATTTGCATGGTGAATGAGATTTTAGAGATCGATCTGGTAGCCATTTATTTGCGCCATAAGCGGATTACAAAACAAATGATACTGAAAACTTTATCCGGTTAACATAGTCAATTTCGGGGGATATCCCATATAATGAACTCTATACGACTTACATTTTGATGAGAAACGAGATCTTTTTTGATATGGCCAGAACTGAAACTGTCATCTTGAATGGTTTTTCCATAAATTAAATACACAACCAAATGTCTAGAAGCTTCGAGAACAGTAGTATAATGGAAATGAGGCTCAAATAAGATATTTGAAAGCATTGAAAATGTAAGCCAGTTTTTAAAATCTCCCTTACTTGAGTAGTTTAAATAGTATTTTTAGTTTGCTGTTCTATACATATTTTAAGTTGATTAATATTTTGAAAAACTGAAAGGGTTTTAACAAATTTATCGATATGTAAAATATTTGCATATTTTATACATAAGATCAGATAATTTATTTTGATACCATGTAAATAAATTAACCAAATTCAAGTTAAATTAACTTCCAGGAAAAACATTCAGTCGAAGATTTAGAAGAAATTATAATTATAACTATCCGATAAATGAAGAGAAAAGTTATTTCTAAAACTACTGACCTGATCTCAATAATAAATTCTCTACCAGGAAACCGAAAACGGATCTTAAAAGCGGATAATTTACTCAAAGGCTTTGTCAAGTTAAATTCTTTGTTCACACTTTGTTTGGGCTTCTATTCCACATTTCGAATCACACCAAAGTTGATTTTAGAGTGATTTATAGGAGAAACCCATCAAGAGGTTTTATAATCTAAACAGGTGTGAAACGGACAAATAAAAGATCAGTTTCATTTATATAACATGCAATTAAAAGCTGGCAAAATTGGCAATATAAATTCAATTGTATATTGAACCTATACGTAATCTTCTTATGTGATGAGGTAACAATAAGACATTTATTTAGTATTTCCGCTTGCTTGGCAAGTGAGTCAAGCTCTCAAGAATTTCGCAAGGAATTCTGCATTGACTTAAGATTCTGTATATTAAATAAACCCCTCGAAGGCAGAACACCAAAAACGTTTTCTATACGAAAATTAAGCTTTAATAGCGGCAATCACAGATATAGTGGCCGCAGGCTCCACACAAATAAGCGTGGCAAACGTCAACGGATCTATCCAGATAGCTCCAAGGGATTTCCCCGTTTACCACGACCAAGTTATTAATTCCCATACATATTTGTTTTTTATTTTAATCCCAATTGTTGTCACCCAAAATGGAACAGAAATCGCTGGGCACGTAAGATCCATCCGTTTGTCATCGGCGTCACTGGCAACTATTTTGCATTTTTAATTGTATGCATAAAAAAATATCGCCGTTTGTTTGTCTTCGGTTTTATTTGAGGTTTCGCTATGAGATGAGGTGAATGTTGTTGATTCTATTGGGGGAATGTCTCGGAATGGCTCGGCCTGCGATCTATAGCAAGTGTTTGGCTCCCATTGGCCGTCATCCCATCTCTTTAAGTGGCGACGTCGTCCCTCAATCTTCGCCTTTTAAAGTGATCTCGAAACGCCGCCTGATTCTCTGTCGGTTTATATTTTTGTTGCTAATGCGATTCGCGTTCGCCGGAGTCCATTGCCACTGCTCTGGTAACTGGCAGTGTCAGGTAATCTTTGTCAACTTTCCGCTGATTAAATCGACCAGACTCGGCCAGCACTTCACCTATACAAGTAACAAAGCGAAAATACCAACGAAAAAAATATAAAAAAATTGGGAACTGGCGGCAGGCCACTCACTTGTCTCACTTAAAAGGTGATAACAAGATGCTCGACAGCAAACGAAGCAACAAAAGTTATGGGCGAAAAAAATTAGAAACATTTGTTGCCTTTTGCTACCGAGAATGACAGATGGAACTCTCTGATTTATCCCAAAGTAAACAAATTTGTAATAGAAATGTTGGGGATCTTTGGGAATTAATTATTTACTTAACAGATTCCCACAGGGCGTTATGAGTCTAATGGTATAATAATATTAGTTCAGTGTTTGAAGAGAATAAGAATATTTGGGGATTTTTGGCAATTTGTTTAACGAATTCCGGCAAGAGAAACGCAAACGTGTTGGTATTATTTAAAACCACACTTCATTGATGGAAATCCTAACTATTTACATTTTAGGTGACTCATTGATATTTTCATTCAGTGAATAGTCAGAAACGGCTTTCCGAATATTCCTAAGCCAAAGTTAGAAATCACGTTAATCGAATGTAAATTTAAAATGAATGAAAAAGGAAACTTGACTAGGAACTTGCAGACAACTTGTACATCCCCACCTAAGATCATGTTTCAAATTTCACATTAATTAATCGATTCATTTTTATGAATTTTTGATCGCGTTGATATAAAGCTTTTGTTTGGGTCTTTGACGTTAAATGCTTTCTTAGAATTCCAAATTAGCCAAAAATAGACTTGCTTATATCGCCTTTAAGACATTTAAATAATAGTCATATTATTTATAAGTCCATAAACCGTTGATTTAATAATGGAACACGTATTAATCAAACATTAATGGGCCCTGGGAACGATGGAACAACAAACGGGCGGAGCTTTCTGTAAAGTGGTCAAGGTTTGCCCTTAATTAAGTTAACATTAAACTAGAATTAGGGTTTTCCCGCAATCAAACTTCAATTTCTGGGCCGCCGAAACGGATCTAGAAAACGCCCACACGCCAGAAACCATTAAGGGCCCTTCACTGAAGAGCTGGAGAATCAGAAATACCCAGCAAAAAACAAATTGCAGCTTAATGAGCAAAAGGGCGGCAAGCTAAAAAAAGAATACTCAAAAGAAAGTAGGCAAATCGTTTGATGAGCTGATCAAGTCAAGGCGAGCAGTCCAAACATCAAAGCCGGCAACAAACCCATCAAACATCATCGAAAGCAAAGAATAGAGAAAAAATGTGGCCGATCGTTACGAGCTGTATAAATATGCCTACAGTAGGTACTGTGAAAAAGGAATTTTAACTAAGCTATTGAAAGAATTTATAGACGTATAAACTTTTTTTATATATAGGTTTTACAAGTATACATTTTTAAGACTTTAGAATAACGTATATATATTTCAGATTTTAAATATTTTGAATGCTATACAGTTATATTGGTAAATTCTTCAAAATTATAATTGGTTTTAATATTACATTACCGTTTTTAGAATGGTTTTGATATATAAGGTCTTTACTTTATTTCCCTAAAAAAATAATTTTTGATTGACTACTGTGGCAGTGAGCAGCAAACGAGAACCATTGAAATGTTATGACATGCAAAATCCGGCAAGAAAGCCAGAAACAACAAACACTTACACTCGAAAAGGTTTGCGCATCGCGCTGCCAACGCCGACAGAGGCAGCGAGAGCGACGCCGCGTCTCTGCCCAGGTGGGCAGACCTCAGTCGAGCAGAGATCTTACCTGTGAGCCCGTCTTAGCCGCTAAGCTCGCTTCAGTTCGATTCTTGAGGCCGTTTAGATCGGTTCTGTTTGGCGACACGCGCACTAAAGAATTCTTCGCTGTGAGAAGAAGACGTGAGGAGAAGAAGGAGTATACCACCGTCACTAAGATACGAAGAGAATTGCCAATAGAATCGAATCGGTTTCCCCAAACAGCAGCCTGATCAGCTGAGTGTTTCGCGAACCGCATTTAAATAAATTATACACATCATAAAACCCTAATTAAAGAGACTGACAACCGGAGCGCGACTGTGCTTAAAAATACTCCAGATTGTGATACTAATTAACTTAAATTGTGTGTGTGATAATTACTGTAATAATCAAACAAATCCCGAGAACAAAACAAACAGAAAATTACAAAATAAAAAAAGTAAGTAAAGATACATCACCAGGCGACACATTAAGTAAACCAAAAATAACGCAATGTGAAGAAAAAACAAATCGAAAACTCGCCAATCAAGTTAAATCAATAAAGAGTGATAAGACTTCCGCATGCCTAAATAATATTTACAATAAATAAAACCCAAGAAGCAGCACGAACAAATTTATTAACTTCTGTTCTTTGTAAAAGAAACGCACAAAACACACACAAATTTCGGACAGCACAAGCAAACAAAAGACTTAAGGCACAAACTCGAATTGCAACTTTTGTGATATAGCTAAATTTAATAGAATTCTTATGATTATTGGGAGGACAATTGATTGCCTCAATTACGTCAAAGCCAAACAATCGGCAAAGCCATTTAAAGAGAAAGGCCCGAAATATAAAAGCTTGCCCAAAAAATAACCGTCGACTAGCCGAATTAATAATAAATACAAATCAGGCTTTTAGCCAACCAAGACCAGAGACCATAAATATCAAACAAGTTGCCAACCAATGCAAAACAAAGACAAGCCGAAAGACAACTCGAAAGTTCAGGTTTTATATATTGGATTTGGATTTCTTCTGACGCTAGCACCAACGAGTGCCAGGAAAAGGGGAACAGAGAACAGGGGCTAGGGAAGACATAAATGTGTAGCACAGATATTGTGGAGCAGAGCGGATGTACCAAATCGTGACACGATCTCAAGCATTGGTGCTAAATGCTCTTTTTTCATTGGGTATATCATTGGGAAAGGAGAATACTCCTTGCCTCAGCATTTAAATCAATATTACACTATATTCAACATTTAAATTAGAAGAGTTCAGAAAATCTGTAACTGTCTCTTCTAAAAATATTGTTTGCCAACATAGAGAAGATCAAAATTCCTAATTCAAGTATAAGCCTACACCCTAGAGAGGACTCTAGTTAACCCAGTTTTTTATGTTTTCCCCTAAAAGTAGCTTATAAAATTGAATAACATTCGTAGGAAACTAACAAAATATTCTGAATAAACTTACAAAACATTGTTAATGCATAGTAATACGGATCTATTTAAGTTCTATATATGTTATATTATTTACCAGTTAACGAAAAATCTAACCAACAACCCCTCTTTTCCCTACAGATGCAGGACTATTGGCACATTCCCCGCGCCTCGCTGGCCTCTTCCTCGAGCTCAGCCATTAGTTCGGCTAGCTCCTCAAAGTCCTCGAACAAATCGCACTCGAATCCGCCTACCCTGAACCAGCGCAGTTCGCCTAGCGACAGTAGCAATAATACAAGTGCTGCTGTGACAGCAGCGGCAGCGGCGGCGGTACTGGCGGCTGCCAAGCGGGGATCGAGGAGTTCGCAGGGCTCCAGCGACAGCAACAACAGCACACGGGTGAGTAAGCCGAGCCCACGCGGTCTCCGGTTCTGGAAAGCCAAACCATTCCGAGCCGTGACTCAACAAACATTCTCTTCTTTTCATGCGAATTAAACAGAGCGCTGCTTCCGGCTCACTGCTGTTGACGGCAGCGAATCTGGAACGCTTCGCGGAGATCCACAAGAAGCAGGAGCGGAACAACAAGATGCTGATGCCCAGCAATCCCTCATCGTCCAACTACAATGCCAACCTGACGCTCGCCAGCGGCAAGGATGCGGTCATCGCCATCGAGGGCGAGCCGGCCGATGTGGATCCCAATTTGCAGTATGTGAAAACCAAAGACCTGGATACCGTATCCATTGCCAGTTCCATGCACTTCACGATGGTCAATGGAGAGGGTGGTCCGCCCAAGAAACCGAAGCGCGGTCTCTGCGATCGGGGACGCCAGGTCACCGTGTTGATTGTCAGCATGAGCACCATTTTCATGCTGCTCATTATGGGCATGGTCTATGCGCTGGAGAGTAAGTTCTTCTAAATAACCACTATCCATTCGAATTGTAACTAATATGCCTTTCTATTTTAGTGCGCGCCCGTGACATGCCCAAGAGCTAGGACTCAGTTCCTCTGCCTAGCCAATTAGTTTATTATTTATTGTATTGTCTTTGTCCCCCATTATTATTATTATTGTTATCGTGTCGTCTTGGCGCTAGTTGTGTAAGCTATTTATTAAACGATTGTTTGGATGGAGAGTCGAGTCAGTCGAAGCTGGGAAATTTCATTAGTATTAAGCGCGCTATGCTATGGAGACAGAGAAACATACAAGGAACTAGATCTGGAGCGGATCGGATAATCGCCGCCTGGTATCGGATAATGCTGTACTTTCTGGTTAGCAATTAAGTTATTTATCCCTGTGATATGTTTAATAAAGTGAATTTTATAATTGTACACGAAGGGTTGGTGACTCACACCTGGCGGAAGGTGAATGACTTTGACTTCGGGGTTTTGTAGTGACGACTGCAACCTAGCAACCAGTGGTGGCGATATTATAATAGGAAAACCGATTTTTTTGGTGGGAAAGGCAGTGGAAAATCTTAAAATTTTGTTGGCAAAATAAAATATTATTTCAATTTGATTAGCCCGATAATTGTATTTAACTTAAATCGTCATAATTAAAGTGTCTATTTACAATAAACAGATATGGTCTAAAAATGTAATTGCATTTTTGATGCATTTTTGAAAAAGGAAAAAATAACTGCTAATACGAAAAGATAAGAATCGTCTTAGATAGGTCAAAATAGTTGGACTAAACCCAATTGGATATAATCCCAAATTACTGCAACTAATATTAGAATATGCTATTATCTTAAAATCGAAATATAAGTACAGCTGGTTAGCTCGGTTGGCAACACTTTGTAACCATGACAACACTTCACTGGGTCAATTTTGAAGAAATAGGGAGGTTGGGTCAACTTACCTCCACCTCCTGCAGTGTTTGTGTCCAGGTGTACTTGTCCAAGGTGCAACCATTTCCCAAATTGGGTATCAGCTTGCCCAGCTCGCCTTTTTCGGTTTCATCGTCCACTTTCTCGATGGGCTTGGATATGTCATCGCGATTCGAGGCTGCCGGCTCTCCACCAGCGCCAGCCAATAGTTCCTGTCGTTTTCTGGGGGAGAATAAGTTGATATTAATGGGTGCAATACGGGAATTTGTTACTCATTTACTAAAACAATTGTGTCAACTCAATGATTTTAATATTTAAATAATAATTTCTTAATGCAAAATAGTCAAATTTTTAAAGCATTTAAACATTGCAGTACGTTCCAAATTTTGGAATGAAAAAAAGTTATCAGGCCTAAAACCAAGAAAACCACGAATGTTTTGTAGTCTGAGTCACACAAATATATTAGTAAATGATCTGTAAATGATTCCACATACTTGTTCTCCTCCTCCTTGATAATGGCCGCTGCCTCCTCGTCGGTGATATCACATATTTTATTATCGTCGATCTCCTTTTTGCGTGCCTCTCTTTCGGCACGCTCCTTTTCATCCTTTTGACGCTGGGCGGCCTCACGAGTCTTCAGCTTTTCGCTGTGGGCGCTCATGGCCAACTTGGCCTCCTTGTTGAAGACGTCCAGTAGGAGTTTCTCCCATTCCGCCTGTTTGGCGCCGGTGAAGAAGTCGGTTTTGCGACGCAGAAAACTTGCCAAAGTGCCTAGGAACTGCAAAATAAAACAAAAATAACATGATTAAACAAAAGAGAAACAAAGAAGTTGGGGCCTTTGTTATTGTTTTACCTCGGGCACGCCACCGCGGTGTTTTTCGGCCACAGCCAGCAGGATATTGTCAAACTGTCCTTCTTCGCCAGACATTATAGAGAATATTTGTACTGGTAGCAAATAAAATTAATTTGTTTTCTGGACGCTTCGATTCGATTTTTTTATCTGAAGTTTTCTGGCGACCCGGCACATGTACAAACAGTGTTACCCGCTGTCGTTAGTCAAAAAATACTCAATCACTGGAAAAATATACCAAATCACAAGTTCATATATAGATATCAGCTTTTGACAGTGAGTAGCGGAACGTATAACGGTATTTAACGGTCAACTTTTGAAAAGCTTAAAACATTTATAAAATAAAATTTCTAGATTTATAAAATTTAAATTTAAAATTAAAAAAAATAGATAAAATATTTTTGTAACAAAAAAATAAGCATAAATTAATTTCATTTCCTCTCCTCTTTTAGTTATTTATTATTTCGTACCTACTGACCTAAATTTAAAAAACTTTTTGTTATTTTCTAAATGCAAATTTAATATTGTCCCAGCTGTAATGGTTTATTAGCGGTGGGCTGCGCAGCATCTAACGGTATTTAACGGTACATATTCAAACATAAAAAACGTATCCTAAAAAACGTTAACAAAACTTAACTAATTTCTATAAATTGTCAAAAAAAAAACAATTTTCTTTATTATTCCTACATATAAAAACAAAATATAGCGAAAACAGAAAATATTACGAACACTTCATTAAAACTCTCACGCAATATGTTTGCTCTCGCGTGGCTCTCCAGTTACTTGCTTCACTCACTTTGGGGGATAGTTCGTCCTATTCTCTCATTCTCATTCGGTCTTTTGAAAAAATCGCACGTATTCTGAACACGCGGAAGAACCAGAAAATATTATAAAGCCAAATCGAAGTGGTAGTGCTATAAGCAAGTGGAAAAGTGAAAACTCCAAAGTTCTTGGTTTTTTGGAATGCGCAAAATTCGAAAATTTGCTCTAAGTGAAGCGGTTTATCAGCACATTTAAAAGTAAATGCAAAAAAATATGTATGAAAATTCTTATGGTGGCTTAGAAAACTGTGATATGCAAATTACTTAACTCACACATACATTTATATTGAAACCTAGCGTGCTTGATATTTACAAAAAATGGGGAACAAGAAAACACGTAGTACGGAAAAAAGATAAGGGTTCCGGGCTCCCCTTTTTCGCACTCTCCCCAATTCCCGTAGGAGTTCTTCTGGAAAATCAATAAATTTTACATGGCGTACACACATACTTACAATGGGAAGCGGGAGTGCGGGAAGAAGAATCAGAACCAGAGAGCAGGAAGAAGTAGAAGTAGAAGCTCCCACACTAAAACATACACTGGGGGGCACGAAATTAGCTGCAATTGGGGCGTATGATTTATGGACACTTAAAAACATTGATCAATGACAAGGAAGTGTTTTCTTTAGTATTAGCTGCATGCCTGTGCTTGCTTACAGTGAATTGTGCTTACAGTGTTTTTATGTGAAAACAAAAAATATTTGTGATATGAATTAACAAAAATTAAACTTCTAGTGATTACTTAAAATATTTTATATACCTCTTATAAATTTTAAAGTACTGAACTACTAACTAAAAATACTTAAATTTTGGTAAAAAATGTATTTTTATAAACTTCAAGAATACAGAAAATGCAGTAACAAAATAATTAGTTTTCATATTTTTTCTCTAAATACAATTTGATTAACCCACCTGGATCACAAGTTTTTAATTTATACCGGACTTACTTAAATCGTTGCCTCGAAATTATAAATATTTGATGAGGTATTAAGGACTTATTAAAATGCACTAGACTGTGATTGCCGCAAGCTTCTCGTTATTGTTCTTGTTTTGTGGTCTGTGAAGTTCTCTCTCCGATGTTGCCCCATCCATACTGCTTCCTCTTTTCGCTCCTGCTTTGCTCGTTGACTATTCTATGGGATGTGCTTCATTCGTGAATCTTGTTTCGCTATTTCCCTCCCCTTTTGTCCCTTACGCATCTCCCTATTCCCCTTCACCACCCCCTTTCGGTCCACCCCAGCCATATGCGATGCAGGCAGCTGCTCCCGCTTGCTCCGCTTCAAGGTCAGAGTAAGGTTAGCTCCGCTCAGTTCCGAAAGGCCATGGCAGTGATTTCTTCTCCTCCACTTGACGCCATCTCCCTCGCACCAAAAACAGTGGTATCTAGAAGGCTGCTGCCACCGAACGCGGCAAATTGTTTTGCCTAATTGCCGCATCAAAATTAATGTCTGGTGTCTGTGTTTGTCCTTGAGTATCCTTTTTTACACAGAAACAAAAATATATTTTTTTTTTTTATCTTTTTATATATACTTACATACATTATTCACATTATTTATTTTTATAGCATTGTTTGTATCAAGTTCATTCAAAAATATGGAAAATAAAAAAAAACTCAACCAATTCTGAACATTTTCGTTTAGTCTTCACTGACTGTCTTTTCTAAAATGTATAGGGGATTTCTCGATATGAAGACAACATAAAGTCAGTATAATAAATTAAAACAAAAATAGTTTACAGCCTTTACAAACGTGGGCTGCAAAGTTTTGCCTTACTACGTCATAGTCCTTTGACATTTACACTTTCTCTTTGCGCGGGTGGCAGCTTCCGAGCTCGCTCTCTAAGTCCAGTCGCTCTCTCGCCCACTCATCCTTCCGGTTTTCTCTCTCCTGACATAACAGTTATGTAATCAGCACGGCATTTTGCAGTTTGCCTCAGAGAGAAAGGCTGACTCAGTTTAATTGCACTTGAATTTAAAGGATAACGTTTTTGCCTTTGTTTTATTACCCATTTATGTGCTTCTGTGCAAGCTCTTGAAAGGGATTGTGTGAAACTGAGTGAACAAATAAAAGACGGTAGACAAAGTACTTAAAAGATTGTGAAAGATTCACTGTAAGTGTGATCCAAGCCCCCTTATACGCCTAAGTACGTTAAAAGCTCTTTTTCGGTTTATCACGGATTTTTGAAGATGAAATGCAAAGCTAAACATTCTTATTCTAATGAAAAACCTCTACATTTTTAATATTAATGGGCATGCCTTCAAATCAAATTCCTTTCCCCTTTGAAATTGGATATATTTTGCGGTCTCGCTTTAAATAAGGTGGCGCCGCAAGTTTGGTTTAATGGTTCAGTGAGTTTCCAAACGGAAAACTTTTCAATTGCGTCGCAGCATCTAAGTGTATGAGCGGGAATGGTGGGGATACAAGCAAGTGCCCAAACCAATTACGATAATGCTTTAGCAATCGGAATTCTCTTGACAAGGGTTTTTTTGTTTTATCATCAATTATCACCATTTTTTAATTATTAATTGTGACAATAATATTAAAAAAAATTTTGCATGATATTTATTTAGAGTGTGTTACAAAATAAAATATGTTTCATCATTCATCTAAACACATTTTATTTATTTTCCTGTAATACACGGCATACAAACTTTGCTGTAAGATTCTTTTTGTCGAACCCCTGACTCATTAACAATTAAGGTTTACAAATTGATTGATTTTCCACCGACAGGATAATCTAGAGTTGATTGGAATGCCGATGGGCGTGGTCCCAAAGTTCCTTATGCAAAAAGCAAACATAAGTATTTAAGAACACGGTACCGCTTTGTGTGAATCAGCTCCCCGCTCCAATTTACTTGGAGTCTATTTACATAACTCTGGTAATGATGGGACGGTGGATAACGGGGCTCTAAAAGGTGCGGGCAACCTACCCCAAATGTGCAACGCATACCACCCAGATACGGTCATTGAAAACTAATGTAAATTGCGACGTTGCTTGTTTATTGACTGCAAACTGTAGTCTTCTCTTAATTAGCAGGGGGAGGGAAGTGAAAAAGGCACCGGGGTGATGGGGTGCAGACCGCACCTATGCCATAAATAGCAACCAGCTGCGATAAATTTCTTGGGATAGACAGGAATTTATGGAGAAAATGAACTGAGAAACTAGAGACTTTTCTGTAATAAATAATATATTGATATATATAGTTTCAAATAATGGAAATTGTCTAAATATGTTTTTTTTAATACTGTAAAGGTAAATAATTTTAGAATACAAGAAAAGTTACAATTTTGGTTATTTTTTAAAAACGTTTGTAATGGGAATAATAACTTTATCATTCTTATCTTCTTCTTACCATTCGGTTAAGATTTCTAAGCAATAGGAGGTCAAGAATACCTTTGATTTTTACAGTATTGCATGATGTGTTTATTTATTATACTCGAAGCTCTAGAACATAAGAAGTTTGTGATAATTGACGATTTATTAACACTTCCCAAGTACAAATTTAACTCTGGGCCTTCAACATTTCCAGTTTAATTAGTTACTAAAATATTTTACCTAAGACCCTCATAATAAGTACAGCCGGTATCGAACATTTAATAGAGCCGATTGAGCTGAATTGTCCAATCACAACTCGAGTAAGTTATCAGCATTTTTGCTGATTTTGTTATTAAAGGGGTTATTGAACAAGGTTAATTATCAGCTCTTACAGCCCTGGCGCCCACTGTACCCTTAGATAAAAAAAGTTCTCATAATTGTAATTACTTCTACGTAATTCCGAGGCGCAATAAAAACAAACCGCAATGTGCCAGGGGGAATCTCTAATTAAACAGTCCACCAGGCGATAATGAAAACCAATTGTAACTATTTTTAAAGCAATTGAGGGGATCTCTTTCTGAATTTCCCCTCGAATCCGCGCTGAATACTTTGCACAGCTGACTCAAGTGCACAGGTTGCAGGCCATAAAACAACTGGGTACCAATAAAGTTAGCCCCGACTACCTGATAAGCGCCCAGCCGGGTCAGATAATACGCATTTATAAGGCCAATAGAACCCCCTATGTGTCCCCCTCCGAATTGTGGCTATACCATATCGTAAATCGCTGAAATACAAAGTTTATAGCGACGAAGGCTACCGGAGTTGGGTTCTATACCGATTTCAGATTGTCAAATGGAAGAAAGTTCTTTGAAGCTTTTTCATTTTGGGATCCTGGCACCCATTAGTACCACCGATTAGTATTCCCCGATAATGGCCTCGTGGCATGCCCCATCGCTTACCGTACTAACCACACGCAATGTTGTCGACGCATAATTTATTTATTTATTTCGGCATTCGGGGTTATTGAAACTTGTTGACTGCGCTTGTTTACCATAT